TCATTCTATTTGGTAATGCAAGTTATTTGTGTATATGTTTGACACTTGTAAATTGTGATATTATTTGTCATCATTTTTTTGCTATTTTGCTAGAAAGTGAAATAGCACAGTTCTATATTTGAATCTTGGCAAAATGTCAGCTTAATAATTGGGTAATACAAAAAAATAAAGTGATCAGTAATGAATATGCAATTTCAATTAAAAATGATCAAAATCTTGGTACATTTGAACATAAAACCCAGATTGACTTTATCTTGATTGATTCAATACATGATTATTGAGTTTTTACACCTAAGATATAGCATTATATAAAGAATTGTTCTCTTTATAGTAAAGGCTTTGGTTTGATGAAAAAAGCCTTGAATCTGGCAATTGAAACTGGTTATACTGAGGAGTTGTATGAGATGCATCAGGAGCTTATAGCAGATATGGAACAGCAACTTGCAGAACTAGAAGGAAATATTATGCAATCAGATAACAAAAATCATTATGCATTAATAAACAACTCACCAATGTCACGAACAAAGGCCGAATGTGCCATAAATGCATAGCATTGTTCAATGATGGACCACAAAAAAGGGTGTTAAAGAAAACAACTAATATTCAACATAGTGAAAATTTGATAAGGAAAGGTAGTTTTAATATTAGTAATAAGTTAATCAGCGTGAGTGATATTGAAATAGATGAAACACAAGTTCAAACAAGTCAAAAGGATGATTAAAATAAAGACATACAAGAACAAAGCCAAGGTAAGTATGTTAAGATTAGAGTTAGAGTGTACTGTTTTTTTTTTAGTTTTTTTTTTTACACATATATTAACTATTTTTATTAATTAGTATTGACATCATTATTAAAATAATTATTTTAGAGATAAGTATGGAAGTCAATAACAAAAACACATTGCAATCAATTTTACAAGGTAAGCATATATATATTAACATGCTTTATAATAAGTATTAGTATTATTATTAAAATAATTATTTTAGAAACAGATATAGTGGTTAATAATGGAGATGTATTGCAATCAATTACACAAGATATTGTATTCAATATAAGTTTTGCACAAAATACATTTTTATTAATATATAAAAATGCATTTTTAGGCAAGAAAAAATGAGTATATATATGCAGTATTTGTGGTAAGGATAGTCATCATAGATCTACTTGCTCTAACAAGAAGCAATAAGTATTATCTGTATTATATATTATGTCTGATATGTATATAGTATTTATGTATATACACAAGTATATATATATGTATATATATTCGATTCAAATTCATAATGCTTTATAATATATTATTTCATATTCTAACAGTTTGCAAGTGCTAGACAGAAAAAAAAATATGTTATAATAATTCTATCTAATACTTGCATAGGATTCAATATTTGTATGCTTAATTACCTTGTATTGTTGTATGTTATGAATGC